AATATATGATTGTCAAATTGTAAACTGTCATATAACTTGTTCATCTCATTGTTTTCTATCTGTAACTGTACAAGTTGTCCTGTTCATATATTTCACACATGACAATTTACAATGACAGCTAGTGTGTATGAGAAAGTTCATATAATGGCCAATGTCTTTGTTAACGATGGTTGTTTTCTCTTGTCTCCTCTAACCTTAATAGTATAAGCTTACATGTTTCAAAAAGTTGCAGTAAACATTAATTCTGATTTCATGTTTACAACTTACGTATGTATAATACTTTTTAAAGATAGCTTGCCAGGCAAGGTAACATACGCCCACTGGCAGCTGTCAGAAATGATTAAACAGTCTTTAGTGACTACAGGGTTGCACAATATAGCTAATAGAGTGAAACGTCAAGTCAGACACGATATTTCGGTGAAATATTATCCGATCATCACGAAAATCAATATGGATCATCTTCATAATGACATTGACATACAAAATAAAAATCAAAAGAATCTGTAAACAATTGTAGCCTGTAGAGTGAGCACGAGTTGCACAATACAGCTAATAAGAGTAAAACGTCAGGTCAGACACGATATTTCGGTGAAAAATTATCCGATCATCACGAAAATCAATATGGATCATCTTCATGACATTGACATACAAAATTAAAATCAAAAGAATCTGTAAACAATTGTAGCCTGTAGAGTGAGCACGAGTTGCACAATATAGCTAATAGAGTAAAACGTCAAGTCAGACACGATATTTCGGTGAAAAATTATCCGATCATCGCGAAAATCGATAGGGATCATCTTCATAATGACATTGACACACAAAATAAAAATCAAAAGAATCCATAAAGAACTGTAGCCTGTAGAGTGAGCACGAGCCAAATGTGAACCGACGGACCGACGGGGTGATTACAATATACGCCAATCTTACGTGTGGGCGTATAAAAATAGGCATTCACCAATCTCCAGAAGTTTCTGTAAAGCTGAATCTGTCTCTGTAATGAATGGTTTAGATGTTGTTCTTCTTCTTGGGCCCAAAATCTTTACTTCGGGCATTTTACAAGTCATGTGATTAGTGATAGTAACTAGACATTCACTAATCTTCAGCAGTCTGTAAAGCTGAATCCATCTCAGTAATGAATGGGGAATACCATTGTGTCTTCTTGTGCAAGACTTTTTCATTTTACAATGATAGCTATGATAAAAATATTCTAACTTCCAAAATATAGTCATTATCAAATAAGCTTATATATATTTTTCTATGAATTATCAATTCTTATAAACCTGTACACACAGAATAGAGGGTACAGAAATAGTATCTATATATCTTGTGATTTAATGTATTTGTCCCTAAATGTTTTTCAGCACATGTACAGCAATTTTCAGAAGGGCTGCAACAATTCTTGAAGTTGAGATTTGATACACTATACAATACTCATCAAACAATACGATTTATTGCCATTATTATCGCGATTCATTTATAAGAACGAGATATAAGACTTGAGAACATTTAAAAGTAAGGAATTGTGAAAAAAATCTCAATTTTAAAAGTCAGAAATTTTTTTTTTGCAAATTTTGATGTGAAAATCATACTCGGAAAATGAAAACATGACACAATTTCTTATACACACAAGGGGATTAAGAATTAATCATGCTGATACATCTCGTTTATTTTTATCCAACGCAATGCATCAATAAGAAGGAAAGAATCGCGGTTCATCGGTGAATCGTTGCAGCCCTAACTTTCAGTAATTTGATGTCATCTGATTGCAGATTGTAAAAGTATGAATACAAACAGTTCCAAATTTTGTTCTTTATTCAGTAGAATCAACTTCAATTTAAGTTATATGTCAACTTGAATACAAAAACTAAAAAAAGACATCACATTTTAGAATGTTTCAAATATATAGTTAAGAAATATAGCAGAAGAGAATCCAAGCAAGTCATATCAAATTACTAGAATAAAGTAGAAATTAATTAAACTAAAGAAATAGGAGAAAAAAGGTTGGTTAGAGGGTGAATTCCCCTAGATAGATTCAGACTTGGTTATTTTCTATTATCAACTATTTATTCCTTTCAGCCTGCAGCCAGTTCTTAAAAAAGAAGTCTCTGAATCAACACACGGTCACACGCAATATAATATTTCTATCAGAAGATGTTTCTTATTGCATCAAAAGCATAAATAATTTTATTTAATTCCATTAGTCTTGTAAAGTTAAGACATATAAGGCTTATGTACATGTATTCTAATTGATTTCTGTATAAAACTATCTCTAAGTTGATAAATTACTCACATTTTCTGATTAAATTCAGATTGAAGAGATAGATGCCCTTTTTTTTTTACCAATCATACTTTAGCCTCAGAAACAGGAATTTTTTAGCTAAGCTAATCAGTAATAGTGTTCACGGCTCACCATCGAAATTGAGCCTTCATATTCATGTGTGTCCAGAATTATCCACGTTAGAAAATTAAAAAGATGAGTCACTGCTATACATAGAAAAGACATCTATAGAAATTGAAAAAGAAATTCCTAGTGTGAGATATTTTTGAAGGAATTCTGCTATTTTCTAGTACAGTACTTCTGAAGGCCATTTTAATGTACATATATTCCAGACCCAAATTAATTCTCAAAAATGGCGCATCTATCCCTATAAGATTAAAGATTTTAAAAGTAACTTGAGCTGGGTAAGCTTCTGAATTAAAACCAAGTATTGTCATACTTCAAATCTAGTCCTTGAACTAGGAAATGAATGGAGTTTTACATCCTACTTTTCTCCTCCTTAATGGCTAATGAAGAGGGGCAACACCATGCAGTGTGCGATGAGGAAACTTTATTTTTAAGTACTATTTCAAGTTCATAGAAACTGTGCTGTAAAGCACTGGCCAAGGTCAGCAATCATGGACAGAATAAGTCTGACTTGTTTAGTAAAATATCATCTTCTGTTTATTCTATTCACAAAATAAAAGTGAATCATGCTTCCGTTTTGAATTGAACCCTGACGCGCAAAAATATATGTGCTTGACAAAAGATTGATGGAACAGAATTATTTTGAAGTAAATTTCCTTTTTAGCATGCCACATTTCATTACATCATAAGGCCAATGGAATGTTTTGTATCTGTGCTATATAACATGATATGGAACTCTACGATATATATATAGCTATTACCAATATATGGAGATATTTAGTTATCTCACACCTGTAAGCTGACTACTCATAAATTATTCATTCTCTCACCAACAATATCATAATATTGAACAATCAGTTAAACCAGACTGCATAAACAATGATTTCCTGTGTATAGTATAATCAAACCCAGAGCCATGTGTACTTTCTATAGACTAAACAGTCTTTGAAACAGAATAGGTAAAAGAAATAATTTAACCGTATTATATATTCTAAGCCAATATTTCATTGAAGATTAGTCTAAATACCAGTAGATATTAAACTTAAGAGCCATTTTGGGGGTTTGGTTTGAGTCTTGAATATATGTAAAGTCTTCAGTACTAGAAATGTACAAAAATCGCATAGTTCCTTCAAAAATATCTCAAACTAGGAATTTCTATATTATGGATGTCTTTTCTATTTTCAGAATCTCAAGACAAGTCGTCATTTTAACTTTTAAACACAGAAAATTCTGGGCACACGTGGATTTGAAGGCCAAAATTTTGTTTCACAATTTTACTGATTACCTTATAGAGCTAAAGAAACTTTCGGTTTCCGAGACTAACGTATGATCGGTACACGGATGTCAAACCTGTCCCATTTACTTAATATGTTAACTGCACAGCTCTTCTCTGTCCACAAAGTAAGGACTCATACTTCTGCTGACAGAGCTCCATTGGCTACCCTTAGCACGTATGAGAATGCAAATCTGGCATCAGAATTGTCTACAAGACAATATAATATTCTTTAACAAGCAACCTGTCTGTATATAACAATAATAGACAAATCATTTTAATATGTGATAAAATAACTTGACCTCAGACAGAGTTTTAACCCTTCAGCTATATTACCATCAAGATCTATTTTATTGAATGTTATGTTTTCATCCTGATGTTTCAACTCTGTTAAAAGGGTTAAGTGGTTATTTTATGTGTTTTTAAGTGGATAAATGTTGTCATAATATTTTTTTTTGCATGATGGATTTTTAACTTGTTTGTGATAAATTAAATTTTAAATTTCACAATGTATTTTTTCTTTTATGTAATAAAACAAGTTTACATGTATGTAAAATTTGAACCGGTATACATCGGTTCAACTCTGTTTGGAGGGTTAAGTGGTTATTTTATGTGTTTTTAAGTGGATATACTGTCATAATATTTTTTTTTGCATGAATGACAGATTTTTAACTTTTTTGTGATTTATAAATTTGATGATGTATAAATTCTTCTTTTATGGTTAAAAAATAAAAATATTTTTAAAATTTGAATTTTAACAGGATTAAAGAGGTTTGCTAAATTTTGTATGTGTATCAGAGACACTAATAGGATCAATGCATCATTTCAATTTTCAATCAAAAGTCTGTGGCTTATGCAATTCCACTAAAACTAAGTGTTTGATGGCGTCAATAATCACAAAATATGCTTATCATGTAAGGCACTTAAGAAATGCAGAAATCTAATTGAAAACTGAAATTGTGCAAATTGATGCTATCAGTGTCCCTGATACACATAACAAATTAAGAAAATCTCTAACAATTCCGTTTAAGTAAATATTTTATGTGTAAGTGAATATAAACTGTCATAATACTTTTTGTGTATGATTGATTTTAACTTTGTTTTTGTGATTTTGCACTTGGTCCCATTTTTAATGAATTTTTTAATGAATTTTCTACCCTTATCCATAAATGTAAACCCATTTATCTAAAATTTGACTTTGAAATTTCATAAGTTTACAAGCCAATTGTGTATTTATATACATTCTATACAAGCTGAAGCTTATGTTTCAAACTCCCCATGTATGCCATTATTGGATGAAAAGAAAGGCAATTCTCTACTCACCGGTTCCAATGCTCTGAATATTAAAATATTTTTAACTGCTTCACTTAGTCGTTGTCTCTGAACATCAGATTTAGGGTAAACAATCTACAATAAAAATAATAGTCTTATAAGGAGTATGGTACCAGTATATAAAATAACAGATTCATCTAAAAAAAATTCAAATGTTTTCAAATCGATTTATAATATTTTAAGTTCTTCTTAACGAAAGGGCATTATGGCATCAGAAGAAAATAAAACATGGTTTATAGTAAAAATTGGATATTTGACTTTTTTTTTAAAAAGTACTAGTCAGGTATCAATTTAGTTTGTGATCTAAATTTCTAGTCCGTTATACTTTAAGGTCAATATTTTTACAAGTTTCTGTCTCATTCATCATTAGTTTACATGTATGTATTAGTCCCCTCTGGCAAACTGATAGAAGCCGAGTCATACAGCATAATATAGAACTCTAAACCTTTCTACAAGGAAAACAGAGTCTCTTCTTACACAGGTCTTCTAGAATGGTTAAGATTTATTATTTATAATAAAGATGTGAGTTATCTAAAACTTGATTCTCTTATTTAAGATTAATGATACCAGTGGCCAAGGTGTTATCAAAGTCTAGGCATGACCTGCCTTTCAACAAGGCACAATAGTATTTTAAAGGAATACTACCTCTTAGAATGGACATCAAATTTAAAGTCTCAAAATTGGTCAATAAGGGTATTATCAGTTGGACTTACCAGGTGTTCATTTATTGAACTCCTAGCTTAAAACTGTTATTTATTGAACTCATAGCTTGAAATTGTTTTCATTTATTCAACTCCTAGCTTGAAACTGTTATTTATTGAACTCATAGCTTGAAATTGCTTATCGTTTATTAAACCCATAGCTTGAAATTGTTATCGTTTATTAAACCCATAGCTTGAAACTGTTATTTATTGAACCCATAGCTTGAAATTGCTTATCGTTTATTAAACCCATAGCTTGAAACTGTTATTTATTGAACTCATAGCTTGAAATTGTTATCATTTATTAAACCCATAGCTTGAAACTGTTATTTATTGAACTCATAACTTGAAATTGTGTTTGGTTATGTACACTCTAGTAATTTATATCAAATGTAAAAGTTCATGAACATTTGATGACAGATTAACTACTATCCTATTACAGTGACAATAAAAAAGTAAATGTTTTATTTAAGGGTTTCTGTGGGAAAGTAGAAAGAACAAAAAAGGATATAAATGAATTTCAGCTTAATATGTAAAATTTAGAAGAGTACAAGTAACATAGTAATTAAAACATTAACTGTGTCAGAAAAATACCCTAGAGGCCCATACTAGCTATTAGTTATAATGTCAAGGTCATGTTTTAGCTTAGAGGGCAACAGAAATTTTAATATAAAGATAAATGTTGTATTCTATCTGAAGCTAATCTAGTCCTTTATACTGCTATCTTGATTGATGCAGACAGCTTACAACAGATATAATATTTATTATGAAGCAAGTCTGCTTCCGGAGATGCCTAGCTTTTGTCAAGTTAGTCATTTGCGATTCTCTGTATGAAGGGACTAATTCCCTAATAAAGGGATTATGAAGAGGTTGTCAAAATTTTTCAATGTGTATCAGAGACACATAAGCACCAATTTGCACCATTCCAATTTTCAATCAGACTTTTGTTGTTCCTGCAATTCAACACTAAGTGTTTGATGACGTCACCAATTGCAAAATGTGCTTATCACATAAATCCATTCGCAATTAGTGACTTCATCAAACATTAGTTTTAGTGTAATTGCAGGAACACCAAACGTCTGATTGAAAATTAGAATGGTGCAAATTGGTGCTATCAGTATCCCTGATCATACCAGTATACATAATCATAACTTTTTTATTTTGAAAAGTAAGAAAACCTTTGTACAATCACTTTAATAATAGTACTGATTTACTGAATGCCTATAAAGTACATAGGATTCTATATAATGCTGATCAGTTCCTGTCTTTCCAGCCTAAACTATTGTTATATTTCATTACACAAAACAATCCTGTAATGCTTAAAATATAATAGATAAAAGCTTTTGAAATGCTAAAAGTCAAAGCAAAATCTAAACCTTTTATCTTGTTACAATTTCTATAAAGTTTTTACACAAGTTTAACAATTTAATAATGTGTTGTTCTTGTTTAAAAGGTAATATTTTCAGAATTAATTGTCTCATAACAAAAGGAGAAAAGGAAATTGCTTATGGGGAACAGGAAATTTTATCATGCAATGTTTTAACAAGTGTTACAATACCGGTATGCCATTAAATGCCTTGTAAAGTCTAAATGTGCGAATAGACGATGTACGGTAGTGCTGGGTATCGTCAATCATGTCACGACACGATACATATCGTGATATAATGGTCATGACACGATACATATCGTGATATAATGGTCACGACACGATACATATCGTGATACAAGGGTCACGGTATGATACATATCATGATATGGGGTAATGGGATAAAAATTAACATTTTATCTTCAAAGTTTTTATATATATATTAATTTATATCTTTATAACTGTGATATTTGGTAATATAGTTGATAGAAGTGGTTAGCGTCCACTGTCTTATAAAAAGTTTCTAACAAGTTTGAACTGTGAAAAAAAATGTTACCTGTATATGATAAAACAACTTATAAAAATCCCCACTTTTTTTATGGAATAAAGGGTATCGCCAAGTATCAATACACAATGTTGTGATACAATACGCGTATCGTGGCTTGTTGTATCCCGACACATCGATTCACTGATATATCATGCCAGCACTGATGTACGGTGTCTGGTACAGAATTACCAGACACTGTATATCGTCTAATTGCGGCTTTAGTCTTAAAAATCATAAGCTTAATTATTTTTTATCAGGAACTCTTTAAACTTATATATTATATATTTAAAGCTTAAAGTAAGCTGACCGTAAGCTTATATAGTACCGTAAGTTCACTTTCAACACGAAAATCTGACATATTAGCTTTTAGGTTATAAATTAAATATCATATTCCTAAACAGAAACAAGATTACCCCTCTGAATAACTTTAAGCTTATAGCATGCTCAGTTTCAAGCTTTAAAAGTGAAAAATGCTAACTTACTTTATCATCTTCCCCTAATTCTTCATCAGCCTCTGGATCATATCTCTCAGCAGAAACTAGAAAAAATAACAAAGTTTATTACTGAAGTTCAATTTCTTGAGAGAATTCGGCTTATTGAACTATCTTGTTGAAATAAGAGTATCTTTTTTCCAAATCTTTCCACTTTTTTCTAAATGCTAAGCTACCACTATCAAATTTTAATATGGATTTTGTAATATATACAGAGATGGTTCCATTCAGGTTTTCAGTCAGACGTCTGTGGTTCCTGCAATTCCACTAAAACTAAGTGTTTGATGACGTCACTAATCTCGAAGGGCCTTATGTGATAAAGCATATTTTGCGATACGTGACGTCATAAACATGTATTTTGCAAGAATTGCAGGAACCACAGACGTCTGACTGAAAATTTGAATGGTGCAAATTGATGCTATCAGTGTCCCCGAAACACATAAGAAATTTTGAAAACCTCTCTACAATCCCTTAAAAATGTCCATAGACATCAATTCATAAGGAGTCTACTTCAATTGAATGGCTTTTATTGGAGATTGTAAATAATTCCCTCAGAATTCTTTGGAGTAGAATTTAATAAAAGAAAAATGAAAACCAATTGAGGATTTGAGAAAATTTCTTTACAACTGCAATCATATTTGATACTGGTTTTAAAAATACACCTGAGGAATTGTTTAAAGCCTGTCACTCACCTGATTTTCTCCGACTGGCATATCTAGAGGGTGGGGGTTCTGTAATGGAAATAAAAAAAGATCAAACTATAAGCGTATGTGTATGTCATGTTTGTTAAAATAGCATCTAAATTTAGATCCTAATGAACTCAGGCAGTCTATTTCCAATAATCCGGTACCGGTATGTTAAAGTGATACTACGTCTTAGAATTAACGTAAAATTTAAGAATTTGGCGAATAAGAGCCAGTAGATATACCTGGTGTAATAAATAACATAACAGGGTCCTTATATAATCTGATAAATCCAAAAAACTTAGTAAATATCCATAAATATGCAATTAACTATTGAAAAACACTTAATATCAAGATTAAGCGTTTTTCAATAATTACTTAGTTTTATGAATTTTCCAATTTTCCAGATTTTACAGGGATTCTGTTGTAACTTTATGACACCAGGTAAGCTAACTGATGAATATATACTCATATTGACCATTTCGAGAAATTAAATCTTATGTACTGGTACACTTCTTAAGTGTAGAATAGAATTTTTTGATCCAATATTTGCATCACATATTGGTTGGTTGTTGTGGCATGGCCTATGCCAGTGCTAAATAAATATGGGAGTGATTTTGCAACACCTGGAACATTTGATCGAAAGACCTCCTGACATGGTGAGTGTGACTCAGGTATTTGTTTGCATTTAAAGAAAATTGAAAGAAAGTAGGCAAGATCTGCATAAAGGATAGTCTAATGAATGGTAAGCACCAGCCCCTAGGTGTTTTGGCCTTATTAAATTTTTAACTAAGTTTTTCATGATTCATGACCATTAAATTCCATTTTAAAATATCACACTTTCCCCTTTGGCTTTGCTTGTCCTGGACTGAGTAGATCTATTATCATATTAACAAATAATAATTTCTTCAGTGGCAGCGCCGTCTGGACAATTCCTTTCATCAGCGCAAGGCCATCTTAAATTCTCAGCAGTATTGTGGAGTTGACATTTTAATTCATACAAATATAGGCCTAGGGTATTAACAAAATTTCCTGGTCAGAAAGCTGCAGGCCCTCATCTCCTGCAAATTCCTAGATGTAGTTCTACTGCTGTAATCTAAGTATGGAAAATATTTGGTTTGGTTTGTTTCATTTTATCACTGCAATTAGCCTTTTATTAGGTTATGTTTTTGCTCTGTCATATCTTTCCTATCTCAGATCTCTTTTCTGAAGTTAGACGGTAGGTCGAATTACCACCATAAAACATGGCCCTGCTGAGCCCGGAGGGACACTCACCCATTGGTTCGTCATCGTCTTCATCATCCGTCTGCATTGGCTCCGAGGTTGTTTCTGGAGATTCGACAAACCTGACGCCACCCCTCTTTTGATATTTGTCGACATTTTTACCATCGTTTAGTTTATTGAAGTAATCCACGGCGAATTGTACCAACTCTGGTGGTCTTTCTCGTAAAACCGCAACAGTAAAATCTTGCAAGAGATCAGTTAATCCGGCTGGAATTTCGAAATTCATACTGCAATATGCACACTCCTAAGATAATCCTCAGCAAAGCACACCAGCATCACACAAAAATACACCTTAATGAATCAGAATTAATCCCATAATCAAGTTATGAGTAAACTTTTACAGCATGACTTCTATCCTCGCCATGTAAGAAATATTATCATACCAAGGTTACGGTAACACATTGACGTCACGATTTGGGAAGTGCGAGATTACTCCGCGTCGAGACAGATACCGTTACGAAATTCCTGATCGATTTGTGGAAATCTTTTCCAATTTTATGACTCTCATTCACATAAATGTCATTGAATTCACGCAAAAAAAATTAATCAATTTTTCCAGCTGGTTTATTCTGTTAAAATATGTGGTACTATTTTCTGTCTCGGAGAATATCAAATATGTTGCGTGATTAGGAACAGTAGACAGAATTTCACGGTTTGTAACAACTCGCATTGTCGTTTAGTTTCGTTGACAGTTTGAACGAAAATCATAATCAACAATCATTACAGCTTGTCTATCGATCGATTCGGTCATCACAGCTTTGATTTGTTCATTGGGAGATCGTTTATCACGCTTAACACCTTAAAATCATAAACCATCGTCTGCTATTGGAACATTTTTCAGAGGTTAACACCGGGCGGTGTTGTTTTTTTTAATTACCGAACAATATTCCCTGGGGGCGGATCTCGTTCGAGGATACGACGGGAAATGGTAAAATCGATGATTGATAAAGTGTTATATTGGTTAATGTTAGCTTTGCATTTACATGCTAAAAAATATTTGATTTTTCATTGGCCGGTCAACAGCTCAGTCAGCTGTCAAAAATTTCCCAGTATTACAATAGACTATTTGAGGAATTTCAAGGCCCACAGGCACATACGCACAAAGAGGCGGTTGTTTTGTCCCTTAGAAAAATTAACTGTACCCCTACTTCATTTTCAACAAATCTAAACATATTATATTTAAACATTTTTGCCTCAAAATATGTGTCAGAAAGCACTAAAAACAAATTTTTTTTTTGAGACCTCCGCAAAGTAAAGTTGGCGCATTTTGAATTTCGGCCTTCACATTTTGTCAGACTGTTCCCCTAATTGTAGTCTAGGGAGGCTGCCCACTTCTTATAGCTTGCTAAATTCTAATAGGGCCTTTATATCGGATAGCGTAAGCTATATTGTTTGTTTTCAGAGCCTATGGAATTTGGGTTCGTAACAAATTTCATGTAAAAAAATAGAAATAGGCCTACAAATAAAACCTTGTTTTTAAAAAAGTCTTAAATGTAAAGTCTATGTCATGACCTTTTGTTCGAGTTTAAATATCTGATGTCCAGCCAGACATTCAAGACAGGAAAAATAACGAGCCTCAAGCATATATAAAATAATTATTTAATCATATAAAGATGGCATTTGAAGACTAGATATAATTAGTTCAATAAAAATCCTAGACTTTCATATTGTAGACTGAAATGGAGATAATTCCTTTATATTCCTTCAGAAACACTTTACTAGATCAAAATATAACATCACTATAGCAATTATCTTTGATGCAGATTAGCACATGAGATTGTGACATTATAGGACTGTAATGGTTTCCAGTTTAATGGTAGCATGATCTTAAGCGAGTGTCGTCATAATCCCGCCTAAAATATCCTGAATAGGGACCATAGATGCACATCATACGGGAATGGGAATTATGACAACGTAACCTGCCGAAAAAGTACACAATACAGTGTTCATAACTCGTGTTTTCAAGCATCACTATGCAATGTTTCAAAGCAGCGTTATGCAATGTTTCTCAGCAAATATAAAAGTGTCTCAGAAGCTCAATGCAATGTTTCTCAGCGAATATAAGAAACTCTTAAACTGTACCCCTGTTTTGTTCGCTCATCGCTACACTAACCATGTAATGTTTCTAAGCAACTCTATAAGGTGTTTCTCAGCAACTCTATGAGGTGTTTTTCAGAAACTCAATACTAAGCAACGCTATGTAATGTTTCTCAGCAACTCTATATGGGGAGTTTCTCAGCAACTCTATATGGGGAGTTTCTCAGCAACTCTATGAGGTGTTTCTCAGAAACTCAATACTATAATACAACACTTTGCTATATTTTTAACCAACACTTTTGTGGCTTTTCTCAGCAATTTTATGCCGTGTCTCTCAGGTGGTGTTTTTAACCAACATTATGTAGCGGTTCCATGCAACAGAAGAAGGATGCTGTAATATATTGCGGTTCCAAGTAACGACGTGCAGCACGGCACGCCAGCCTATACAATTAAGCCATAGGACCCCTAATACTGTTACTGCAAGAAGGAAATGAACATTTTTTCATTTTTTAACAATTAAATTTGACGAATGGAAATAGAAATCATAACATGATGTTTTACAGCTAAAACGATCCTGTAGACATTTTCTCGACCACAAATGAGACATTAATTTGACAAATCTAGAAAGCAATTATCGACCGTCAAGAAATATAAAATGTGATAAATTCAGATAGACAAGACATGACTAGATAGTGGTCAATCATCCTATAATTCTTACATTAAACTTATTCTGGTCTACATGAATGAGCTCTGATGGTTAAAGTCATACAGTCATTGAATTATCAAGTACAATTTTTCTTATACCGTATTCATTCTAATTGAAGACTCTGCCCTAATAAACGCCCCCCCCCCTCCCTTTTATATTGACCCATGCCTGGGTACTGAATACTTATAGCCGAATATATCAATTACAAAATGCAGATCATATATACCCACCCACCACCCATCAGTACCGTGGTACCTGCGTCATATAGTGTATATCAGATAGAATGGATTGGTGTCAATTGAAGAATTTTGCAACAAAATTATCGCCCCTTTCTGAAAAAATGCAGCGCCCCCGGGGCCTAAATTAGAATGAATACGGTATATGATACTAAAAATATAAAAAAATAACTTGAATCATGATGTTACTCAGATTTTCATGCTATGCTATCTTCAGACAATTTTTACAATGAAAATACTTTATTATTGTATTATATATAATACTATAGGCTCTAGTTCATTGGTTTCCAACCTTTCTCTGCCTTCACACCCCTAGAGTAATCACCTGGACCTTTCAAACCCCTAAAATTTTTTTCATTCACATTTCCAGCATGTGTTGATGTGAGGTGCTCTCTCAATTCAAAATGAATTCTTCTCCTACACTAGTTGGCCACACCCCTAACATCCTAGTCCCACACTCGCAGGGGTAAAAACACCCCAGATTGGGAACCGGGGCTCTGGTGTTATCAACACGTTCAGATTTAAAAATCAGAAGATGCAGGCTAAAGAGGGGTTCAGGTGTAACATGACGTAACAGATAGAATTTGAACGAAACTGATAACAACCGTTATCTAAGAGAATCTGAGTCAACGTAGTGAATGTCGGTTTAATACTTGTATATAAACGAAAATTGCAGAGGTTCTTTTCTCCGGAGATGCTTTTGTCCGTCTACCCAACGAAAGGGAGTCGAAAAAATCCTTAAAAGACAAATGCCTCCTTTTCTTTCATTCCAGATGACCTTTGTACCAAATATAATTTATATAGCTTGAGCGAATAATTAGATGAAAATATCCCTAAAACTTATCAACGACTTGAAGCAAGAATCTATAAAAGGTCGCAGTTCAGAACCACAAAGAGGAAATAAACTGAGATTTATCAGTGCTAGTCGAGAAACATTTCTATATTCAAGAGAATGACAAGACCAATTCTACATTTTTATAGTTGCAACATGGTTGGAGACAGGTTTTTCCAGAAGCTTTTGTATTTGATAGCAAGCATTAAAGATGGGTTTCCTTATTTTTTAGTGTCAAATTAAGCAAACTATTTGATTAATTGGTGTTTCTAATGAATTATCATATATTCTTAATCATATCATTATGTTCTTATTGCATATAATTAAGAGTTTTAACCAATCATAAATGTCCATATAGGTACAGTCTGGATAAACAACAAAAGACTTTTTGACCTTTCTTGATCGGTCACTCATTGGAATTCTGCTGGTAATTCTCTTCTAATTTAGCTAATCATGAATTAATTATGTAGCCTACATGCGAGACATACAAGTCATTAGAACACCTCTACTTTCTATTCATATAAGTATTAGCATTTTCATTTTCATAAATGAAAATAAGGCAACCCTTCTTTAATTAGTGATCAAGACAATACGTCAATTAAAACGGAATTAACACGATCCATCCGGATTTTTTAGGGAAGTTGAAAACAAGCTGTTATAATAGACACCGAGATTTCGATCTTCTTATGCGTGAAAGAGTTAAGGGAATGGTACTAGAGTAATGGATTTATATATCATGGTTCGCCATTTTTGGGGTTGATTTGGTTCTTGAATTATGTAAATAGTCTTCAGAAGTATTGGAACTGCGGATAATTCTGGAAACACATAGATTCCAAGACTTAAATTTCGACGGTGAGCTGTGAACACTTATTAACGATTGTCTTAGTTTAAAAAATGTCTGAGATTTTCTGAGACTTTGACACGATCATTGGTCAAGCGCATAGCGAACTTGTTCCCTTGGGTATAAACCTTTCCTATGAAACGTGCTTATGTGAAAATTTCTATCAAAAGAGTAGGTGTGAGTCAGCAATTTCTGTGCTATTTCAGCCTACAGATAAGCTTGGGAGAAGAAACACAACTACAGTCAATCATAGGCTTGACATTTCCTTTATGATGCCACAATTATACCGCGAGATAGAAAGCTGGTCTGCCAAAGCTGACACAAAGCTGTATGTTCCAATGAAGATTATTTGCTAGCGATAGAGTATCGATCACCCAGACTTGGCACTGAATGCCAGGAACTATTTACCGGTCAAACCACGAGTTGGAGATTTCCAGGATAAGAATGTCAAAGTGTATTGATGATTCCATCAATTATTGTATTTTTCTCCTTAGTTAGAATAAGTGCCATGTTGGTTTGTATAAGTACCTTGTTCCTAGGTATAAGACGATTCTTTACATACTTAGGTGATTGG